TTATGCAATTTTTACACATAATTTGACGCTAATTAGTTTGTTATTGTTACTTACTTCACGATGTACGTGATTCGATAACAACAATCGGCGCGATGGTCCGACAAAATAAATATTATGAACAAAATTAGAAGTAAAATAAGAACAAAAATGGTATGAGAATGTTCCCAAGGATATTCTTTTTATAATGTGAGCATGTAATTTATAAATTAATTGCATAAAAGATTGTAATTAATGAAAAACCGATAGTATTATCGGCATTAGTTCGAACACTCCGAGTAATAATTACACGTAACTACACTATTACACGTAAATTATAATACTTACCGTTAGTAACAAATTATTATTGTTAATAACAAATTGTTCACAACGTAAATTTAAAATAAAAGTGAAAAAAAAAGGAATTATTGGTTATTACTTGAACTTGGAACGAATTTGTGTCAAAATGTAACTCTAATTTGCAAAAAGTTTATAAATTATTACACTGATTGTTTATAACAAATTAATATTCTTAATAAAAAATTGTTTGCAACATATATTTATAATAACAATGAAAAAATTAATAAATTATTGCCTTCTATAGCGGAAAAATAATAATTAATAAAATCGGAAAAGTTCGGAAATTTCCGTGGAACTTCGGCCGATCGGAGGCTATATAAGGGGTGACGCGACGCTGCATAAGTCATTTGTCGGTTTGACTTCGGAAGTGTAACATCTAAATTTTCGTTGTGCGCGAGGGGTGGGGGTTCGAAGTGAGGTGAGGGTTGGCTACCCTCTCTCACTACCCACTTCATTAAACATTTTAATAATAATTTCCTCTTTCAGGTTTTAATCATTTTTTTTTGTTTTCAGCTATTAATTAGTTTTTCTTCTTTCAGATTTTATTTCTTCACTTGTAGTCTATTTTATCGCAAATAAATTTCATTCTGAAACGATATGTTACGTGAAACTTAGTGTAGGTAAGTGGTACGTAGATAGTACGTACGTAATTTCAAGAATTAGGCGAGATGGAATTGATAAATGGCATGTCTATTAACTCTCGGTGTTAGTTAGGTACCGATTAATCTATTGCCTCGGAGGCACATTTAAGATCGATAAGGTAATTCCAGAAAATACGTAATTTTGACTCAGGACAGAACGAAATTCGTTAATATCAGAGAAATTGGGACGATATTCTGCAAAGTGTATTTTCTAAAATTGTATTAAACGAATTACTTTTTTAAATACACGTGGAATTGTCAATATACGTATTTTAAACATATTGCTGTGCATAATTTTTGAACTATATTTTAAATTAGGAAGAATAGAAATTTGTTAATGAGGTGGAAATTAGAACGATACATTGCAGAATACAATTTTTGTTAAATATTAATAGAATCGAAAATATGTTTTTTGTATACGAAAAATATATTCCACGTATATATGAATATATTCTATATTAGAAAAAAAGAAGAAAATTAAAATTTGTTAGTAAAGAAAAAATGAAAAGATAAACTGAAAAATGTATTTTCCAAAATTATATTAAATTATTTCTCTAAATAGTGATAGAATTGTTAATATATGTGCTTGAAGCATATCTTTTTGTTTAATTTTTAAAACATTAGAACAAGAAATTTGAAATTCGTTAATATGAGAATTAATTAATAATAGTTTAAAAATTAATTAATAATAATAATTAATTAATCTGACAATAATTACATTAAACGAGTTATTTTGTTAAATATTAATAAAGTCGAAAATACGTATTTTGCATATGTAAAATATATTTTACATTAGAAAAAAAGAAGACAATTAAAATTTGTTACTAAGAAAAAAATGAAAAGCTAGACTGGAAAATGTATTTTCCAAAATTGTATTAAATTATTTCTCTAAATAGTGATAGAATTGTTAATATATGTGCTTAAAGCACATCGTTTTGTTTAATTTTTAACAAGAACAAGAAATTCGAAATTCGTTAATACAAGAGAAATTAGAATATTTTGAAATTAGAATTTTTCAAAATTGCATTGAACGAATTATTTTTGTATACGTCGATAGATTTGCAAACATGCTTTTAAACTTACATCCACATATTTAACTTTTAAAATACAAACGTAACTGATGTTCGAATATATTATATTTTAAGTTGGAAAATAGAGAAAAATATTTCGATTTAAATATTTGAATTGTATAGAACATCAAATTTAAATATAAGACGTTTAAAATATACTTACTTGGTTCATGTATGATCTAACGAATTCCATGCTTTGGTCAAGGGCATAGGTGTCGCTGCTACAGGAGTCGAGGATAAGTGCGCCTAAGGTGGTGTTGGGTAATAAATCATTGTCTAAATTTATCTCATCAAGAACGTACAACATAGCCTCCAAACGTTGCATTCCTTTTTCTTCTTTCACTGCACCACACGGTGATTCGCCAATGGAACCTGGCACCTATGAATAAAATACATATGTAATATGGCAGAATTTCAACGTGATGGACAATCGTATTCCCTTCCATTTTGTTTTTACACATGAACTTACTTCTTTGAATTATACTGTTCTACGTTATCAATTTACGTATTGTATATACATATGAGTCGTTCACTGCACAAATCGATTAACTCGACTTTTTGAAAAATCTTAAATTTAAGTGTCAAAGCACTTGGTATAGTAATAACTTTTATATTTATAATAACTTTCCCTGATAATTAAGATTAACACCATTAAACGACAAAAATTTGTTGGCCACTGAATAATAAATAATTTATTTCAGAGGTCACTTTGATTAACTCCGTACTCTAATGTAAATCGTTGCAATAATGCAACTCAAATGCACTAGCGAGCCATGAATGATAACGGTGAATTTTTTAGTGCCGTCTTATCAGAATTTAAGTAAAATTTAGTAAAATTTAAATTTATCACTTTTTCACTTGCCGAATCGATTAACTTTTCCAGTAACATAAAAATGGTAACATTACTAACGATTACCATTTGGCTATTTTTTCTTATAAATTTTATATACCGTTAGATGAAAGTTACATTTGTATTTATGCATTCTACGATATTTATTTCGATTTAAATTATAAAGGGAATTTTAAAAAACAATATACATTATTTCATTGCATTTCCCCACTTTTTGTTTTATGGAGTTAATCAATTTGTGCAATGAACGGCTCATATACAGGGTGACCCATATCAGTTATCACAATGAAGAATTCCGTAAAAAGCTGACTGAAAGAAAATAATCTGCCTTTTAGAATTTTGAATTAAAAAATACAAAAAGTCTAATTTTTGCATATTTCGAATCACGTTTAACAATATTCTTTAAAATAAGAGTTTACTTGTTTCGTAGTGTTCAGCTACGTTTTCAGCCAAATATTATAAGTACTCGATCAATTTAATGTCGGTATTTCTTGCTTGACATGGTAATAATTCAATACTGTTTTCATTCGGTAATTTCCTCCTAATTTTACGTATATATTTTCTTATATTTTGCCAGTATATTTGGCAATGTTGTCCCGTTATAAAATAAATGCATGCCGGAAGGTCATTTTTCCAGCGAGTTGTAAATTTTGGTAAGTAAATTCTATCGTAAAATATTTACATATCTCTCTCCTGTCGACATGTCACCTATAAATTTTCAACTGTCTGAAACAGTCACTGAAAAACAGCTCTACTTCGACACAGATTTATCTTCACATTTAATGGGATGCACTCGGATGAAAATTAATTAAAAATTATCTCTCAAAAAAATCGAAAATTCGTAATTTTTGCAAGAATTTTTATCTATTTTATTTAATTCTATCAGTTTCCACATTTCAATTAATATTATATTATTTTTATCTGTTTTACTCAATTCTATTAATTTTTACATTTAAATTAATATTATATTATTTCTATTAATTTGTCATTTTATTCTTTTATTAATTTCCATTAGCTGTTATTCTCTCATTTTTTAAAGGATTATTATTTTAAATTATTATTATTATTACTTTTTTTGTTTCTTTCATTATTTTATTAATATTTTGACGATTTTTATGCAGGAATGAATTTCGCAAAATGTAATATCGTAGCCAAAATTCATCTCGCATATTCGAAAAAATTTTAATCAAAAGAGATATTAAATTTTAAAATTCATGGCGTACAAAAGCCATGTAAATATTTTTTTTTTTTAAATTCATTTCAGTTGGAAATATTACTGTATGCTACTGGTCATTAAACATTCTGCTTCTTGCAATACCTGTTCTCGATATAATTGTATAGTCGGTCTTATATTTCTTGTACGTTTGCTGTGAGTGTTTTAACATTTTATTTAATTTTGGCTTTCCATAACGATAGTTTACTCATTTCCACTCCAGTATCTTTGACTAAACATATTATTGTTTCAGTGCATCATTTATTAAGTGCAGTGGTAACTTTCGAAGTTTCAAGCTACTATAGCTTTTAAAATTATTGTGTTATCCCAATCTGTCCTGAAGTAAGTACACGATTGTATTCTTGCATTTTCTTATCACTTTGTGATTTTGCAGTATCGTTTGAATCATATAAAATTAAAACACATAAAATATAAGTTAAAATAAATTTATAAAAATTGTAATAATTAAATTTATAAAAATAGTGGTATTTTGAAAAAAATTGTTCTACGTGCAATAACATCGTAAATTGGAATTATCAGTTTTATCATTTCCAACATTTCATTTAACTCGAATATTTCGCTATTATTCATTTTCTTTAGCATATTTGCATTAGTTACATTTTCCTTTCGTCTAGTCTTCTCAATATTTCAAGAAATTTCAAAATTTGAAAAAGAGGCGTAGAGTAACATTATTTCACTTACCCAAGATTTTTGATAGACAGATATAAAAAGTCTACAAAGAGCAAATATTTCGTATAAAGAAGAAAATAATGATACGAATTTATTTCTTCCTTTTGTTCATAAAGAATTATAGTTTTACATTTAGTTTTATAATTAATTACGCAATATACAGAATATTTCTCCTGGAATGCCTTTTTGACATTATGTGTACTTCATTGTCATTTCATATTGGTTTACAATTTTTAATGTGTTTGAACGAAGTATATAATAATTAAAAAATAACTTCAAAGATCATACCACATTGTTTAATGCAATTAAGACGTTACTAATAGTTGCGCGGTGCATTCGACCCATCCCGCCTTGGCTTACCCATCACGAGTCGTGGGGTCAGTATTTCCAAGGTTTATAACGCGATCGTAATGACCGGCTGTTTTCGAGTTGGAATCTTAGAATATTGGGGGGCTTAAACACGAGGTTTTTAGAATCCTAGTCTAATCCATACTCAATAGCCAAAGACGTGTTATAAAACACGGTAATTCCGAAGGGTCACACCGAAGCGTATCTAACGGTCTTACAAGCCTGAGCTTCGGGCCCAGAGGAACGCCGGGGCCTTGGGAAAACCCATGACCTCACGCCAGCTCAAGTGTCGTCCCACCCTTGCAGGAGAAGGCGCGTCAAGGGCGCATGGAAGGGTGGTCACGACACTGAGGATGCCGCTGATTGGAAAATTGGGACTTCTTAAAATAGCCAATCAGCGTGCATTCTAAAGACGCCAAGGCGAGGAACCAAAACTCTCAAAAATCCGAAGTCAGTTACAATCAGACCACCGAACAATCATCGCGATAAAACAACCCTTACCAGCTCTTGACCTTAAAACAGTCTAAAGCACTCCACGCGAAACCAACCGGAGGAAACAACTTCGTTTGCATCGCGTCGAAAACGCTAATACTACAGGATTAGCTACATACTAGCGAATACAAAATTATATCAATTATATCAAACCAAGGCGAGGAACCAGATAGCAACCAAAATTCAGGGGTCACATTCGAGCTCTCAAGGAGTCACATTCCAACTATCAAGGAGTCACAGTCGAGCTTTCAAGTCATTCACATCCAAACTTCAGTCAGTTATATTCGATCCTTTAAGGAGTTAGAATCGCGACTCCGAGGAAAGGAGCTAAGACGAAATAAGTTAACATTTGGGTTACCAAACAAAATTAATAGCTCTTAACCATAAAGCGTCTAGAGCACCCCACGCGTTCCTAAGAAGGAAACAACTTTTACATTCGCGACGCGTGGTAACACAACTAAATCAATGACTCGAAGGTACTTGTACCCTCCTTGTCAGTGACGAAAAGCTACTTTATCCTTGGTCACGTTGTCTAATAAACAGTACAACTGATATAAGTGTTTGAAAGCTTCTGTTGAAAGAGTTATCAGTGAATAGAAGGAATAATATGAGCCGTTTATTTTGCAAATGGCCTAAGTCCATTTATACTTAAATTAAGATATTTAAGGGTTTGTGTTTCAATGCAATTAAAAATATACGTATAGGGTACTAACGAGTCATATTGCTTAAGTGTATCTAAAGGAGTCAAATTTATAGTCCCTATTAAAATAATGACAATTATTTAGTGAATAATATGCTTTTTCTTACCAAGAATGGAGTTAGGCTACATTCAAAATTAATAACCAGATTCCTTATAAAATTTGAAGGAGCCCAAGTCCATTCAACATAATTTAAGATGCTTCAAATTGAAGAAAACAATACTTAATTTATTTTATATATTTTTACAACACTTCGAAAACATAATTTATGCGATTCATAACATTTTTTAACTACATAAATTACAAAACAATTTACTGCTCATTTACATTTTGTATGTGTGAAAGGGATTTGAAGAAATCACGATGTTCCGGTGGTATATATCGTAGTAGGTCCATTATGTCCTTGAATTTTGCTGTTGTAATTTGTCTGATATTTTTATACAGTGGTGTCGATACAATATTTTCGATCTTTCTTGGTCTACCCCGACATGGTAATAAATCCAGGACTTTCAAATTTTCATTCTCATTCATTGATGTCTCATAGAAAATTTTATACGGTTCATTTCTGACAAAATGCATCCAACATATTTTTAACCAGTTTATCGATTTGCATCCAACATATTTTTAACCGGTTTATCGATTCTCCGTTAGAATTCTTTACCCTTTTAAAAATTGCGTCTTCTAATAATTTTGTTGATACAAAATCTTCTTGTTTTATTTCATTTACAATAAAGTTATTACCTTTCCGGCACTTTTTGATAATATTATAATAATCTTGGGGGACAAACAGTAAATTATTTTTTTTTTAATGACATTTCTACCACGCCGAAATCTCTATCATTTGGTAAACACGAATGTCCTGATATTAAGAATTTGTGATCTATGATTGTCCAAAAACTGAGGTTAACTTGTTAAATACTAATTAATTAAAATTACCTTCCTCACTGCCTTCGGACATTATCGATAATAAATATCTCAATTTAAGTATAAATGCACTTAGGCCATTTTCAAAATAAACGGCTCAATTATTGAACTAACTCTGAAAACTTACGTGTCCAAAATTATAGTATTTACTCGGAATATAAGTA